CAATAACTTTTACTGAAGTAAAAGTAAAAATACTCCAACAAGTAAAATTTTTTAAAGTTGCTGTATTAAATGTAACTAGTTGGTTATATTTATATAATTACTGCAACATTCACGTCACAATCAGCTCAGATATGTTATAATTATCATATAAACCATATTATAGTCTAATTCGTACTGGATCTGAGTAAATGTAACTGGTTTCTACCCAGTTACTCTGCTGACGTTTAGACGTTTATATTTTAAGTTTTTCCTTCCTGTCAGAATCTGGATCTGGTTTTGGTTCTGGTTGTTTTCTGGACCTGGCAGAGGAAAGCTGCTGGCAGGACGAGTAGGCCGGGTTGGGCCCAGTCTGGCTGCGGTGGCCCAGTGGGAGCTGCTGCTGCGTCACTGGGTGGTGATGGGAGGACTGGGCCGGGTCCAGGCTCTCCATGCTGCCCCTGGAGCTGTACTGGTCCGGACTCTTCCTCAGGTAGCCGCCGCTGGGGTCAAACCCGGCCGACAGGTCGGTGGTGGAGGCGCTGGGAGGTGGAGGGAGACAAAAGCTAAAATATGGATCCAAAGGGAAATAAGCATGTAAATATAACAGAAACTGAAAACTGGATGCTTTTATTTTAACGCAGCAAACGTCATAAATCTGCTACGGCACATTAAGGCCACTGTAGAGAAATAAAGGAGTAAATTCCTGCCAAAAAACTCAGAAATGTTGAAATTAAGCTCAGAAATTTTCTACAAAAACTTCTAGGATTTTCTAGGAAGAATCTGAGATTTATCACTAAATACCTGAAGTTTTGTTGGAAATTAACTTCACCTTTTATTTTATTTTATTTACAGTGGCCCTTATACACTGTCATATAATCAATATCAACTTTGACAAAATAAAAAAAAAGGAGTTACTTTATCTGATTGATTTTAGGTTTGGATTTTTGTGACAGAAAATATTCTCAGTAGTTTGATGAAGGATGAAACCAGATTATATAATTATAATGATTTATTCTTCTTCTTCCTGTAGTTAAGGTTATTTTCCTGTTTTGACCCGATTCGTTTCTCCAGTGGAAACTCTCCTCACGTCGACTGTGTTGTTTTCTCAGTTTGTGTGGATCAATAATCTATAATCAGCTGGACTTCTCTGTGTTTGCTGCTCGTCTGAAAGAGCTGCAGGAATGTAAATGTGTCGACGTCACAGTTTGACCCAGCAGCTCCGTCGGCCGGACACAATGTGATTACGGCTCCAGGAGCAGGACAGAGTCCCAGTCCCAACGTTCCCTCCATGTTTCTGGATTCATCTTTTCTTCCCAACGAGGAAGACGAGGGATGAGGAAGACGAGGGATGAGGAAGACGAGGGATTGGGATGAAACGTGGTTAGAAACCAGCAGGAATGAGCCTCAGACGCCATCAGGAGGTTTTTTATTTTTGTTTGTAAGAAACACGATGAGCTGCAGCTTCTCTAAACTTTAACAGCTAATTCATCCAACTGTTCCTCAGAAATTTTCCAGAAGAAATTTGGAAATTTTCTGAGTTTAAAAAGTCAAAAAAATTTCAAAATTTGAAACTCAACCATTTTTCTAAATGTCATAGTTTTTGGAGAAGTTTAGGTCCAAAACGGCCCCAGAGCCGCACTTTGGACACCCTGGCTTACAGTGATGTGATACTTTGATTGAAAAGTCAGATTATCACAGATTAAACTGATCAGAGTAATTTATAATTTAATAAATGTAGAAGAAAAACTGCTGAAAGTGACCTGCTGGGGTAACTGTGGTTTCTGTGGGGTAAACGATGGGGCGTTTCTGACCTGCCGGGGTAACTGTGGTTTCTGTGGGGTAAACGATGGGGCGTTTCTGACCTGCTGGGGTAACTGTGGCCCCAGACGGGGCCCATCGACTCCATCTGCTCCAGGTCTGGTTGATCGTCGCCCAGTTTGGTCGAGTGCCAGGAATGAGGGCGAGACGCCGGCTCACTGCGTCTGAGGAGGCGAAACGTGAGGCTAACAGTTAGCACTGGGTTATACGGAGTCACATTCACCCCAAAATTTATCATGAAGTAAAACAAAATCTGTGTATTAGATTGATGAGGCATCCTGTGAAAGAGAAAAGAAATTTAAAAGGTTTCTTCTCCATGAAGCCATAAATTTATTTTCCTCAACATGATTGAAGAATTTGTTACATTTTTAAAAATGTTGTGGAAATGAGTGAAAAACTAAAAAATCTGCCAAAATTAAAAATAAGATGGAAAAATCAGTTCTTATTTTAAGTTTTCTTTCTAAATGTTTTCATTGGTTGAACATTTAAAGATTTTTGGTACATTTTAGTTTATTAATAGAGTCATTGGGTTATAAATATATATTGTTTTGTAATTTCCTCTTCTCCAGGTTTTGGCAGCTTTACTCCTCCATACAGAACAATGGTTTATTTCCTCACTGGGAATATATTTTCATAATATATGGATCCAGTTCATTATCTTCTCCTGTGGTATTTAAACTTTTCTGTCTTAATTCTTGTAATTCGTCTGTTGAACATTTTTTATACATTTTGCTTTAATAATTCTGTTATTCACATGTCAACATATAGGGTTTTGTTGCCCTTCCATCAGGTTTTGGCAATGTTAGTCCTCCATATAAACGGATTTTAATACCAGCTAGGATTTATTTTCCTACTGTTGCTGGAGCTAGCAGACAGAAAACCAGGAATAATAAATACATTTAGTTAAAATCCAGATTAAGTAACAATCTGTTTCTCAGCAGCTGCTGAATCAGCATTTTTCATGAAGCGCTGAAATGTTTCCTCGTCTGTTTTTCCACCCTTGTTAGGAAATCTTTGACTGATCTTGTGACGATCCCAGATGCGTGAGTCAGGCTCCAGTGTTCAATTAAACGAGGGTGGCGCCCTGAGGCCTGCATGTGAACGCACCGTCATCCAATCACAGCAGAAACCTGCGTAGCGTCAGCCGGACACCATGTCTGATTAACTGCAGGCTGCAGTGACATCATGGTGGCGGCGCTCCAGCGCTCCGGTTACAAAGCAGCCGTTGTTTCAGCCGGCGTAACGTCCAACGCTGACGACCGAGTCAGGCTTTCTGTTCCTGAAATGTTTGTCTGTTTGCACCCTGAACAGATCCACGTTCACACAACCAGATGTTTTAAAGCGCTGCAGGGAGCTCAGCCGCTCAAAGGAGTTTATTGTCAGAGCAGAAGGAGGAGAATTTATGTTTCAGTTAAATATCAGAGCACCTGAATGCATGTAATACACAGAAACAGCAACATGTATGAAGAAAACGAAGATAATCTGCTCTAAAGTAACCTGGAGGTCGTCATGTTTGGGAGCTAAAACATCTCTGATAAGATCTGAGGCCAAAAGCAGAGCTGCTGGATTTACAAGAAGAAAATGGTTAAAAAATGTAAACAGGAACATTCAACATCAGAAAACCAAAACAAACCGGATCCATTAGAGTCCAGTTTGGAAAGAGTCAAGAAATCACAGAAATTATTTGGGTTATTTAGTAAACAGAGGCTTAATTAATCAGAATCACATTTTCACCACATTATTCATTTATAATTGTCAGTTTGGAACTAAATATTCATTAGCAAGCTAAATATTTAACTTGCTAACTAAGTATTTAGCTTTAGGCTAAATATTTGGATTAAGATCTAAACATTTAACTCCAAATTAAATATTTAGCTCTGAGCTAGCTAAATATTTGGCAATTTATGCTCACCATCAAGTAAATTTCCATATTACCTAAATATTTAGCTCTGAGCTAACTAATTTGTTAGCTAAATATTTAGGTAAATAAAGTTAGCAAGTTAAAAATTTAAGCTCGCTAACTTAATATTTGACGTAACACTAAATATTTAGCTTCAAATTAAATATTTATCTTCCCATCAAAATAGTTTGAAACTAAATATTTATTATGCTAATTAATATTTAGCTTGCTCTTTATGTATTTAGCTCTAAACTAAATAGTTAGCCGGCTAAATATTCAGTTAAATATTTAGCTTTATTTAAACCAAACATTTACCTTGCTAGATAAATATTTAGCATGCAGCTAAATAGTTAGCAAGCTATCAGCTAATCTAAAACAAAGTATTTAGTTTGCTAATTAGGTATTTAGTTTGAAACTGTGGCATTTATGGTAAAAATCTGACTAAATAATGAACTCCCATTTTTTCCTCACAGGTTAATTAACCCAAATTATTGCTATTAATGTTTGACTATCTAACTTTACAAACCTCTTCACTCAGATCTTCTCATGTATGCTAGCCTTAGAGGTGCAGCCATGTTTAGCTAACAGCCTGTCAGACGTTGCTGTGTTTTAGCGCGGTTATCAGAGCGGCTGCTAATCTCAGCCTGACCATCGTCACATTCCTCCTGTCCTGCGGCTCGGTCATTTATCCAGAGATAAACAGGAAGCAGTTTTATCTGCGCGCTGGAGATGGAGGACATGAAAGCTAGCATGTCTGTGAGCCACCTGGGGAGCGACAGGACGTGACTGGAGAACCTCAAAACGCTTTATCTGCTCAGATCCTCACAGCCCAAAACTACCAGAAAACAACAACTTTCTGTTGACTTGTTTACAAATTATGACTAATTATAAAGTCCGTTCTGCTAAAATATTCACAACTTTTTCACATTTTGAACGTTACAGTCACAAATTTTAACTTTTAACTAAACCATACTTATCATTTCCCTTTCACCTTTTTTTTTCCTCACTATAATCTGAAAAGTGTGGCAAGCTTTTTTATTCAGCCCACGAGTCAACACTGCAGTTTGATTTGGGTTTGGACATCCTTCTTTCTCACAGCATCACCATTCAAAATGACTCTCAAGAAACTTGGATGATATGATTTAACATTTAATTTACCAAATAAAGTAATTTTGAATTGAATTGTGACAGGAGGCGTGGCTTACTGCTGTCAATCAACCTCCTGTACTCGATGCTCAATGTGCTAACAGTGGAGAAACGACTCACCGTTACAGGGAAACCAATCATCTGCAGTACTACTAGCGTTAGCATTAATGACAGACTATGCTAACTGCAGCGTAGCAGAGAAACAAACAACCCTGGCTCTGATTGGTTGTTTCTAGATAACTTGATTTTTAAACTGTGACAGTTTCAACAAATATGCAAAAAAATATTTTTCATAAAAGTTTCATGCTGCAGCTTTAATGCAGAATTATGTTTTAGTTTTTTTTACATTATTGATCAGTTATCGGGAACGGAACAGATATGAATATCGTATCGGTTTCTAGTCTGGGTGGAGGCCCCCAGTGAACATCTGCTCCGGGCCCCAGAAAGGCTCCGTCCGGCCCTGGCTCCGGCTGTTTACCTGGCCGTGAAGCGCAGCACCTTGGAGATGAGGCCGGTGGCCAGTTTGTTGACGCTGGTCTCCGACGGCGACCGGCACAGCGCGCCGTCGGAGCGGCCCAGCTCCGGCTTCTTCTGCTTCTTCCTCAGCTTCCTGCGGTAAAAAACCTCCAGCAGCTCCATCGCTTCCCCTCCTCCACCGGCGAGTCACTCAGATCATCACCGAGAAATCCTGCCCGGAAATTACTTCTCCAAAAGGAAGCTTCTTTTTGTGCCAAAATCTGAAACTGCTGTCAGAAAAACTTTTCCAGCTCAAAGTCCGATCCTGTCTGGTCCGGTGTGACTCTGACCACCCCGCTCCAGTCCACAGCTTGTTAAGCAAATGGAGCAATCAAGCGTCATTAGGCCTCCGGATGATTAAAGACTGAAGTAAACATCAGACGTCCAGCAGCAGGGAGGACAGATGGGAGACAGGGGAGGAGATGATGGCGCTCAGATAGTTTGGGTGGAGAAACAGAGGAAATGCTGAGGCAGATAAGAGAGAGAGAGAGAGAGAGAGAGAGGATGAAGAAAGGATAAAACTGGGAAGGTGATGAGGAAGAGGAGGAGGAGGAAGAGACGAACAGAGGGAGGATTTAGCTGGACAGCCGGAGGAAGAGTCTCATGATGGAGGACGAACAATGATCTGATTATTATTGACGACTCCAAAAACAGACGCAGACAAACGGAAAGACCTTCGATAAAAGTTCAACAAACACGTCAGTTCAGAGAAAATACAGAGAAATGGCCATGAAAGCAGAGAGAGAGAAAAGAAACGGCACCATTTGGTTCAATTAGCATAAAAAATCTGGTTTCACTGCAGACACGTCAGAAACTTTACAGCTAAATATTAAGATTAGACACTAAATATTTAGCTGTAAAATTTAATAGTTATGAAACTAAATATCTAGTTTCCAAGTAAATATTTAAGTTGGAGCTAAATATTTAGTTCAACTGAATAAGTTTTAAAAATCAAACTAAAAATTTAGTTTTAAAATGAAATATATATATAATATAATAATATAAAACAATATAAATTGGATTAAAATATGGCCACATTCTGCAGATTTTCACTGAAGACCTTTTTAGACAATATTAGAAATAAATTAAAAATAAATCCATTATTTTTCTAAAGAAGAAAAACATTTATTTCCTAAAATGCAATAACAGCATTAACTGATCCAATAACTGATCAATAACTGGAAAACAAAAGTTGCTTTACAGGAGATTTTATTGTATTTTTAAACACATGTAAAGCTAAAACTGACACTGGAGAAGTTTTGGGTTTAACAGATTTATATTTTTTTAAAATTATTTTATTGATTCTTAAATTCAAATGTAAATATTTTGTACAGTTTTGGTTTAATTATTTCTCTGACTGCATTATTCTTTCAGCAAACTGTCTTTTTTAAAGTCTGTATACTCTTGTTAACAATTAATCGATTACTTAATTGATGATTATTTCTATAATCGATTAATCATGATTAATCCGATTAATCGTTTCAGTAATAGTCCTTTACAGTTTCTCTCATTGATAATCAGTTAAATCCTGATTTTTTTTCTAAATGTCCTTTTTAAATGACTTTATCTGTGAAAGAATCCAGTTAAATTCCCAATATCAGATTATTGATTAGACTGATCCAGACGAGTTCTGGAAAAACTTTAAGCTCCAAGAGGAAAAGAGTCAAAAAGATTCAGGTTTGGTTTAGGAAGTCACATCCAGAGGATTTTAACGGCTCATAAAACACACATTCCTCTAAAATAATTAACCATTTCTGTAATTATGTAGTAAATAATTACAGTCAGTGAAGGCGAACAGAACCGTCTTCCTGTTTGGGTCAGAACCGAGTCACTCAAAGAACCAGCTGCAAATATTTCACTTTTCTGTTGGAAACCACAAACTGGACGGCTGCAGGGTGTGTCATCTGATCCGCTTATCTGTTGCCGTGGGAAACGGCTGCAGCCCATAATAATCTGCCCTCCGATCTGCACGGAAACCAAGACTCAGAAAACTAAAGTTCTGGTTAAAACCGGCCCGGTCCGGTCGGTCCACGTTTTACTGTCCATACAAATAAAAATAAAACTAATTCAGGAAAAAATCATTACAGTCAAATTATGAATGAAGTACGATTTATTACCGTCTGAAAGGAGGAACGTAATTATACAGGAGAAGAAGAACCGGTTCTGGACCGGTTCTGGACCGGAGTGAAATGAATTAAACTGAGACAGAAAAACAAACCTTAAAATATTTAACACACTTAGCGGAACAACAAAAATGATTCATCATTTATTCACCAGGTTTCTGCTTTTATCTGATCTAGTAAATAAAACCAAACAGATTTTACACTGAAGTGACTTCCTGTTTGTGTTTTAAATATAAAAATAAAACTGTATGAATGTTTTACTATCGTTTATGTTTTACATTTATGATCATTTATGGATCACTTTTTCACAAAAATATGATAATTTTGTTCATTTCAATACTTTAAAAAAATTTATTACTGAGCTAATAAAACTAAAAAGGTAAATAAATTTATTTTAAAAACCCTGGAATAAATTGATCAAGTTTTATGAAGTCAAAAATACAATTTAATACAAGTCTTAATATTGACTTTATTCTTGTAATTTTATGACTTTATATTTGTATTTTTATTTTAATTTTATTCTTGTAATAATTCTACTATTCCTGAATTATTTCAACTTATTTCTCATAAAAGTTTATTCTCAAAATTTATGACTTCATTCTAGTAATTTGATTTATTTATTTTTTATTTTCTTAGCGTAGTCCAAATAGTTTGCTGTACTTGGGCGCCCCTAGTGGTGTGGAGGCCCTAAGCAGCTGCTTAACTCGCATATTCTTTGGGCCGTCTCTGATTTTAGGGTTTATGAATGAATAAAAAATGAATGGAAGTCGATGCAAAATCCTGGTGAAGTCAGGAAGGTGTGTGTGTGTGTGTGTGTGTGTGTGTGTGTGTGTGTGTGTGTGTGTGCATGCGTACATGCGTGTGTGTGAGGGAGTGTTTGTGTTTCATGCAGCCATGAGGTGATGCTGCTGTGGAGGAATGTGGTGATTCAGCCAAAGAGGCATGCAGGAGGAGCGGCTGAAGGAGAAGAAGAGGAGGATGAGGAGCGATGCAGGAGGGAGGGAGAGAAGGAGCGAGGGAAGGAAATGAAAGGAAAACAGGGATAAAACAGGGAGCCTGTGTTTATGCATCAGTCTATCTGTCCTGTCCAGATTAACACCCAGCCTCTTGGGGCTCTGATGGCCCACTTCCTGTTTCAGTCGGCCAATCAGAGGCCGGCGCTCCTGGACTGAGCGGTATCTGATAACAGCAGGGGTCCGGGGGGAACAGCAGGGGAACGGCCGTTTGGGGTTATCCAGCTTCAAACCTGGACTACAGGAAACAGCGCCCCACAGAGGCGGAGGCGGGCACTGCGCTCAGAGGAGGAGCTCCATATTAGGCAGCAACAAGCCGGACTGAAGTGTTCAGTATTTATAGACTGTTTGTGGGTTCAGAGTGACCAGGCGGCGCTGGTCGCCAAGGTTTCCTTCCAGACCCAGTCAGTCGATTCCTGAAGTTTCTGACGGGATTACAGAGTTTTCCTCTGGACTCCAGATGATTTTTCAGTCTGGTACAACAGAGAACAGTGAGGCCTGAAAATGATCCATCGGAGTTTTGTCTTCACGTTAGCATAGCATCATGCTGCAAAGGTTTTACCCCAACAGATTATCAGAGGAGAGAAGCTACACAAACAGATGAAGTGGCCACAGTAGTCTTAATTTAGTCATGGCGTTACTTTAGTGCCAAAAGTAAAACTATTACACATCCAGGTCTGGACACGTCAACACCTCTAATACACGTCGCTACGCTGTATGCCAACCATTTTGACTAGAGCTAGCATCTACCACTAGCCTAGCCATGCTAATGGACAGCAGAGCAAGCAAGCAATCCAGTGGGAGACCAACCTTAGCATGTTTGGATACTAAGCTATCTAAGGCTAACGATAGCCTAACCAAAATGAATGCTAGCATATTGAAGCCTAATGCTAGCCTCTCTGTGCTATTGGCCACAGAGGATATAAGCAGTTCAGTGGGTGGCCAACTGAGGAATGCTGGTTTGTAGAAACACCAAGCTATTGCTAGCCTATCCGAGGCTGATAGCAGCATATTCAAGGCTAACGCTAGCCTCTCTGTGCTAATGGACGGCAGAGGAAGAAGGAAATCTTGTGGATTTAACTAGAGACTTAAATCCAACAAAGATACTTTGGTTTTGACCTGAACTCTCACTCATGGCTGAATTAAGATAAATCTGCTCTGTGTGGGGCAAACAGGTTTTAGCTTTGGGGTAAACTCACCGATTCACAGAGCCAGGTTGGTTTGGAAGCTGTTTTTGTTACAATCATCCTTTAAAAAACAGTTTCAGGTTCTCTCTGACATATCAAACACATTTAAGAGCAACAAAAAGGTAAAACCAGAAGAAATCTGTGTTTCTAGCTGCAGTTTGTCCCTGCAGTCCTAAAAATGATTCCTACAGGAAACGATCCGTTTTCCTGTTCGACGTTTCAGGTGCAAACAGACAGCAGGACATTAAACATCACAGGAAAAGGAAGAGCTGGCAGGAAAACCCCACAACGAAGGTGAAGACCCACTTCCTGTTTCAACCTTCTGGGTCTCTGACAGAGAAAGAAACGGATTTATCAACACTGGGAGTCAAAGAATCCCAGTAAGGAAATCCCAGTCAGCAACCATCATGTTTCATTCCTGTTTATGCTGGGAAACTAACAATCCCACGCCTCAACATCCAACATGGCAGCGCCTGCTGGTTCAGAGTCTCACCGGTTCCTGATGCGTAGTTGGACCGCTGAGCATCGCCGGCTGTGATTGGACGATGGGGTTTCCTGTGACGGCGGCGGCGACAGTGATGGGGATTGGAAACGGAGATCAGGAGGAGGTGAGGGAAGACGAAGAGCGGCCCCGGAGTTCGGTGACGTGAACTCCTCGATGTATCCGGGATCGAACTCCCTGCAGAGGAAAAACCAGAAACGGGAACTTTACTCAGGACCATGAGAACGTAACGTTACGCTGCGGCTTCAATCCCACAGATTAACTGCATCTGTGGACCAGATTAGCAAGGAAGCTCTTTAGCCTCAGAGCGAATTGACACCAGCCCTGTTTAGTCTGATTTAATCCAACTCCGGTCCGACAGTCTAGAGATTCCAGTTCACCTACAAACTGGTTTCAGTTCAGTTTAAATGAACTCTGGTTCAGTTTGGATGCATATGTGAACACCAATTGGACCAGAAACCACTCCAAAAGCAGGAAGTGGACTACAGAGCACGGCATTCTGGGTAAATACAACCAAAACAAACGTGTTAGCGTAGCGCTAGTAGGAGAAATAGCTTGAGAAATCCTCCAGCTGCTCAAATCTGACGCCTCCATTGTTGTTTATATTTGGTGAAGCAGGAAGTTGCTCTCAGTGTCTTCAGAGGTTTTTGTGTCGTTTCCTTCAGTGGTTCTTGGTGCAGCGCCCCCACAGGCCAGGAGGGGAACAGGCTGATCAAATCATTTTCTGACTCTGCAGTGAGAATATGAAATGTTCCCAAAACAAGAGGAAGAAAAGTTTTACTCTCATTCTGTATTTTTAGTTCCCAGCTCCCATCAAACTTCTACTGACTTTTTGAGTTATGAAAACATGATTATTTATTCAGACGTTATACTCATATGTTAAGTCCTTCATGTTTTAGATAAAAGATTTTATCCAATTATATTTACAATCAACGACAGAGCAGGAAGCAGGACAGACTGTAAAATAACATTTAGGATCATTTTCTGTTCGGTCATCAAATCTATGAAATAGACCAACCAGAACTAAAATCTATCAAATCACTGAACCGTTTCAGGAAATCAGCAGTGGTTATTATGTGATCAACATTTTTCTCTTTTCTTGAATAATTTTTAATGTAACACTTTTTTTCTTACAGATGTGATTTATTTTTATTCTCAGTGATTAATGTAAGCTGCATCACTTTTAGCTACACATCAAAATCTATCATAGATCATAAGTTATATGTTACTTTAAATAGTTTTAATCTCTCTATCAAACTGCTAGATTAGCCTCTCTGGCTAAATCAGGCATATTTATGTGATTTATCCATGTTATTCATTCTCTCCTTTATAAAATAAATCAAAAACAGTTCAAAATGAGCTTTTTGCTGTTAAAACCAAAACATTATGACAGATAAATTAAGGTTTAACAGGATTTAAAGTTACATTTACTGGAAGTTTGAACCTCTGAATACGTTTCTGAACCCAGAAGCTGAAGAACCGGATTCCTGAGTCGTTTTTCTGTCCTGCAGGTCAGACGGTTTAAATGTTCGGATTTTTGTCCTCTGGGTGAATTTGGCTAATCTACAACCACATTAACCACCAAAGTGAACGCCCGTTTCCTTCTGGCTCAGCAGGTTCAACACTGTTCTTCACGACGACCTGTGGAGGTCAAAGGTCAGCTGTGGTGTTGACAGCAGGGAAAAGAGGTCAGGGTTCAAAGTTCAGAACGACCTGGAAGCTGATTTAACTCTCTGCTCCTTTTGTGACTCAAACAAAGGAAACGACTCAGTTTTACCAAGTTGGTGAGTAAAACAGCAACCAGGCAGAGAAACTCAACAGTTTTTTAATTAACTGTTTTTTCTCTACGATTGTTGAAGCAAAAGTTAAAATAACTGACATGATAAATAATAAAGCCTCTTTGACTGCAATGACACAGCTGACAAGCACAAACCAAATCCAATGATTTTCTGCCATATCCGACTTTTTCCAGGCCGTAAATTAGAATCTTTTCACTTCCAAAAAAAAAATCAGATTTTATACGTGGAAATAAATCAGATTCATGTTCCATAGTTTTCTGCAGCCTCGTCGCATTTTATCCGACTTCCACATCGTTCCACTGCATCCAAACAAACTTCTCTAAAAGAGACGCCAGTGGTTGGCAAACTTCTGCTAACCCGCTAATACATTAGCTTAGCTTAGCTCTTTTGCTCATTTTGAACACTTACAGCTTTCCCTAAATTAATTTTCCAGATAAACTCTAAAGCACTAAACTTCAAGTTGCAGTCGATGCTCCACAAAAGCTTCTTCTTGCTCAACAACGTTAAAAATGTATCCATTGACGACGGCGGCCATTTTTACTGCCGTAAACGGAGCGCTGCTGTGTGAAAACAACCTTCTGTTTCTGGTCTAACCACCTGCTTATTGTTGCTTAATATTCTCTGCTGTACAGCTTTGAATTCTTCAGAAAAAAAAGGATTCTAGGTAAACTGGTGTTCATGGTTTATTTTACAAAAAGAGAAAGAAATACTTCGTATTTTTCCTTATTTACGTTGGTAGGTTAACTGGTCTGGAGCATATTAGTGTGTATTAACACAACTTCAACATAAAATCACATCAGAAATGCCTATAGAGACGTAATCATGATTGAAAATTGAAACAAATCTCAGTATCATCAGCGTAGAAATTATTTAATAGCTTACATTGATAATTTGGCTAAAGTGTAAGACATATATTATTATTTACATGTCGTACAAGTGAACAGATTCCACATTGTCATTAGTAAATTAATTTTGCGATCCAAGGAAAATTGAGTTTTAATAGTTTTGTGTTGACACAAGTTGAAGGAAAACAGACATCAGTAACGGCCTGTGAGGAGCAACTATGACTCAACTGTGACATAATATGACATCATCAGCGTAGAGCAGGAAGCTGATAATTAAAAACATATTTTACAAAGAGTAACGT